ATGACAACATCATATTTTGATCAGTGGCCAAACCATTTTTGTTTTGGGGGTGGGGGGGTGGGGGGGGGGGGGGGGGGGGGGGTTCTTGACCACTATTTCAAGGACAATTAGGAAGAAAACAAATAAAAAGCTTTTATGTAACTCAAATATTAGATATTTATTCAACAAATATGCCTATTTTATTTATATTTTTAACAATTATGGGGTTCTGGGGTAACAAATAACAGTTCTGGGCCCCCCTCCCTACCCTGGGCCCAGGACAACAGACCCGTTTGTCCCCCCCCTGTCGGCGGGCCTGGATAGATGGATAGATGGATAGATGATATATAGATGGATAGATGGATAGATGGATAGATAGATAGATAGATAGATAGATGGATAGATGGATAGATAGATAGATAGATAGATAGATAGATAGATAGATAGATAGATAGATAGATAGATAGATAGATGGATAGATGGATAGATAGATAGATAGATAGATAGATAGATAGATAGATAGATAGATAGATAGATAGATGGATAGATGATATATAGATGGATAGATGGATAGATGGATAGATAGATAGATAGATAGATAGATAGATAGATAGATAGATGATAGATAGATAGATGGATGGATAGATAAATGATAGATAGATAGATAGATAGATAGATAGATAGATAGATAGATAGATAGATAGATAGATAGATAGATAGATAGCTGATAGATGGATGGATGGATAGATGGATAGATAGCTGATAGATAGATGGATGGATGGATAGATGGATAGATAGCTGATAGATAGATAGATAGATAGATAGATAGATAGATAGATAGATAGATAGATAGCTGATAGATGGATGGATGGATGGATAGATAGATAGATAGATAGATAGATAGATAGATAGATAGATAGATAGATAGATAGATAGATAGATAGATAGATAGATAGATAGATAGATAGATAGATAGATAGATAAAACAATTTTGTTCCTATAGTGTATAGTGCTTTGGTCCTATATATTTTGTAAATAAAGTGGAATTATAATTGTTTTGAGTCAGAAAGAGTCTAAATGCAGGAAACTTTTCACAGTTCTTATACCCCTGTCATGATCAGTTAAGCAACGGCAAGGTCCTACTGGGTGTAAATATGGTCAATGTGACTTCTTGGAACAACAGCTGCAAAATAAGATAGCTGTGGTGGTTTTGACACCTTCCCAGCAAAAGAACAAACAAGTGATATCATAATCACTAGACAAGTTGTGAACATTTGGTACTTCGATTCAAAGAAACCACGTCAACTCATGCAAATAACAGCTGAAGTGAGATATCAGCTTGTTTCAGCAGTTATTGGAAACATTTTTTTATCATGTCTTCAGAACAAAGGTTAACTAAGATATACAGTAGATATGTTATAGATAATATAGATAAAAAAAACATTAATCAATAAACACAAGGAAATATTTTTGATTAATATAATTAACTATAAACAGGAAGATTTTTTCTTTGCAATATGCAATTTATTTCTTCTACAGCGTACTACAGTGAAGTACAGAACTATAAAGAGTCAGAAAGTTTATAGCAAAACTCTGACGTCTCATGATTTTGAAACAGTTCAAATAATACATTAAGGCATTTATTCAATGTATTCTTTTAATTCTCTGATCATATAAAGCACAAAGAAAGCTATAAGATTTGATCTGTGTAATACTGCTACATATTTTTTGGTCCTTTTCCAGAGAGAATAGCATGTGGGTAGTCATATGTTACAGTTGGTCTGCCTACACTCTTCCATAAAATATGATCAAATACAGATTTCAATAGAAGGAAAACTTTGACAACTTTTGAAGATATAGTCAAAGAAGCAGCACATTAACAACACGGCTGGCGTGAACATATATTGTGGCTTTGAAATGCAATGCCTTTTCAAAGATTTTCAGATTTTTGAGGAGACTGCGAGGGAATCAACCAATGATATAACACAGAATGTCTCAAAAGTTCCTGTATTGCTGAGGAACTTGGATAAAAGCTTTCATGGCAGGAATAAAGATGAAATGAACCAGATGGTCATAATATTTCTTTAAAGCTATGTGTGGTTCTTGTTGGAAGTGCAAAAATATTATCTCTGGAAGCATCCACAGTAAATATATCACATACAGGTAATGCAAAATAAAAAAAATTAAATAAAAATCCACTATACCAATTGTGTTTGCTGCTAAAACCTCAGTGCAAACATAGGAAATATTACACAGAATATACAATATAAAACAGACATACGTTGCAACTCAGACACAGTAAAGACACAAAACAATATCACAAATAATATAAAGTGTGGTCAGTGCCTTCCTCTAGAGTTATTGCATTTGTGGGAATCTGCAGCCAAAAACAATTCTTCATAGTGGGCTTTATCCTCAGGTTCATTGCACTAAAAGAAAAGAAGATATTTTCTTCTCTAATGGTCTCAAAGCAAGCTGCGACCCTTGGCAAGCCACGTCTCTGCCTTGCTTTTGCAGTTGATGGCAGTTGGTGGAATAATTAATTCTGGCACAAAAATCTCACAGTGAGACATACTGCACTTGGAGATCTAAATTCTGCCAACTTGATTTTTCCCAAAAAGACATTGCTGGAAAGTGACTTGTTGCCATTTCACATAGGAATAGCTTTCGGATACAGATCATGAAATCACGTGGGAACTTATTTCTCTGGTCAAACCTCAGCTTCCTGTGAACATGAGTCACAATGATGCTATTATTATTTTACTTTGAGAAAGGATTTAAATCAAAAGAAAATGATGTCATGAAAGTGCTAACTGGCCGGATGGCACCACTAGACACAGTCCCAACTCTTCAGCAATAAAATTAAATAATAATCTTTGTGTAAGTTGCTTGCCAACATTATTGTGCCAGTTGGGTGGTTATTAAAATAAAATTAAAATAAAAAAAATCTTTGTTTTGACAGAAAAAATATAAACAGGAAAGAAGACTCATTTAGCTGCTGGGGGAAACTTGTTCGCTTAAAATATATATTTTTCACTATACAAAATGATTAACCACACAAATTAGCCAGTGTATATTGCTGAGACCATAATGAATAGAACCATTAATTCAGTTCCAACAGTACAGACATGGAAATGATCGACAGACAAATAAACTAAAATAAAATAATATCATTAAGACAGTGATGACACACATACATAGCAGAAATACACCATCCGGCAGGGTCTAATGGGGCTATGCTAATTAGCAAAAAAATTGACTACTGTATATTATATTGCACAGATCCGGTCTTTTGTCCCACCTGTTTACATTTACTTCAGACTCGACTGCTATTCAATATCTGTGTTTACATTAATCCCCGCCCAAAATAATTCTGTTGGTGATCACTTTACTGTGCAACATGGTTGACCCTCAGGTTTTAAATGTCTGTAAATAACTGAGATTGTGAAAAGAGAGATAAAAGAGAGATTGTGAGTGTGAATTACCTGCATCCGTCTGTATGTTATTGTGAAGCTTGTTAGTTTATTTACAAAAACAGTGAAGTCATCACCTCATTGCAGAGAGGCCTATAGCTTTCAGTAGAAACAGTTTTATTTAAAAGAATTCACAGGGCAAAGATTTAAAACTAGTTTCTATGCTCCCAAATATTTTTTAATCTTAACTATAAAATATACACCTAAGTAAAAAAATAAAATAAAGAAAAGCTGTGAGTTTTAGTGCGAGCTGATATAGGCATGTCTGCTTCTTAATACGCCATTACAAAACAACCTTTGTGGGCAAACGTTTCCACCTCGCCTTGAGGTGGCTTGGGATTCCAAAGTGGAAATGGATGTTAAAACCATATTTGGAAGTGGCTCAGAACGGATGCGGGGAAAAAAACGGATCTCGTGCGGATTTTTGTGTTTACACATGTGCAACAAATTCTGATCTGTGTCAGTTGTGAGTAAAAAAAAAAAAGATTTTTTGTGTCAGTGTAAACAGTATGGTCAAAAGTCTATTTTAACTCTTTTCCTGCCATTGACTAGCCTGGAAATCCAGACCCAAATCCGAAAGATTAAGGGTCTGGCTTTGAGTAATGAAAATCGGCCAACTCAAGGGGCGGCACCAAGCATGCATTTGAAAATCTCACTGCACGCAATTGGATAACACTACGACCAATCACAACAATACGCCCCATACGCTTAGCTACCAGAGGAGCTAACTGGTATATTAGACTCTTGCCGTATCCGGTCGGCAAAACAGCAAAAACGTCCTTTTTGCAAAGGAACGATTCGAGCGCCGTCTTCTGTTCCTCTTTTAGATAAAAAGCCAAGTCTAACTCGTTCATTGTAGCGGCCAAAGCCATTTCAAACAACTGGTGTTCATCCATAGCCATCTTGCAATGTTTACTATTGACTTCGACGTCACAGCGCTGTCGTCATCTGTTTAGCTCGCCTCTGGCCCGCCTATATCAGATACACCGATGTGATTGGTGCAGCTCGGCTACAAGGGCATAGTTAATGAGCATCATTACTCAATGCCAGAGTGACTCGCTGAGCAAATTCTGGATTTTCAGGGTAGCCATTGACAGCAATTTCCGACTTTCCGTGTTTTCACTGTTATACGGCAAGGGGCGCTATGACACACCTTCTGAAAGTGTCCTGAATCTCCTGATCAAAACACAGGCAACGAAGAAACAAGTGATAGCATATGTGAGCAAATGCATTGTAAAATAACGCGATCATCAACATTTAACAGCCTATAAATCAAAACTGCCTAATGTTACTGAATAAAATGTCGACCCAGGAAGAGGTATAGGACTGTGAAGCTTTGGAGGAGTTGATGGACCCGATCTACTCCATCTATGTGTTGATCATAGTTCTGAATCCGATCTGGATGTAGCCTTTGATTAAAAAAAAAAAGTTTTTCTCGATTTTCTTAGCTTTTTTTTTTTTTGCTTAAAATGTTGCTTTTTTTAATGAAACTTACCCACATTCAAGTGTGGATAAAAAAAGAATGCATTAAGCTTTAGAATAAAACGTTTTTTTTTGTTTTTTTTTTAAGCTGAAGGTCTGTTCTTTCTTTCGATACATTGCATGTTCCGATATTCATACAACAAAATATTCTAGGGGCCAATAAATGTTTGTGAAAATGATAAAAAAATGCTGGCGGTGACTGGCAACTTTTTTTTCTTTTAAACGCTGGTGGGAAAAGAGTTAAATGATGGCTCCACCATAGATCCTATTATATGGCCTCATGAGTTTGGCATAGTTTCATAGTTATTTGTCCAAATTGTATTTCAAATACTGTATATAACCAGGGGTAAATATTTAATCACAGTCTTGACTGGAGCATGTTGGTTTCTCTGTCCGACACGATTTGGTCCTCGATCTCCTCAGGCAGGGCAAGTAGTTCCCAGCGGTGTCACGGAAGTCTCTGCGGAGAAAGATGTAAAACACAGGATCCAGCAAGCTGTTAAGGCTCAGAAAGCCTCGTGTTAACTGATAGGGCACAAACACAGCCTTCTCCCAAACGCACGCATTGCTGTGTATCAGCAGTCCAACGTACTTCACACAGCCGATGAAATGATAGGGCCCCAGCACCGTGACAAATACAGCCACTAGAAGGGTGAGCAGACCCCTGATACTCCTCTTATCCTCGGATAAAAGCGTGTTGATTGCCATCAGTGAGCGGACGGTCTCTCTGTGGAGACCAACAATGAAGCTCAGGGGTATGATGAAGGACACAAGCAGAGTAATCAGCCTGTAGGTGATGAAACTACCCTCTGAGGGATACTTCTCGATACAAAGAGTGTAATTTTCCTGCTTGGGAAAGAGCTTGTCAAAAGCGATGGTAGGTGGCACCGCAATTAGTATCCAAATGGCGAGTGCTATCCAGGGGGCAAACCTCAAGTTACGCAGATGCTTAAAGCTGAGAGGTCTAGCGATGGCCAGATGACGCTCTAGAGCGATGATACACATGAAGAAGATGCCCGCGTAAATGCTAATGTAAAAAATCAGACCCGTAAACTGACAACTCCGGGTTCCGAAGCGCCAATAGTGTCCGTTGGCATAATAGTCTATCCATAAAGGCAAAATCAGGAGTTGAATTAGATCTGCGATCAGCAGGTTGATGACGTACACGGGTAGAACGTTCTCTGATTGGATTAGTTTGTAGAGCCCAAAAAGCGCCAACAGGTTCAAAGGGGTGCCAATGATGAAGAAGATTCCATACAGGATGGGAAGGAAGATGCCGTCTTGACTGAAGTCGATTCTGCAAGCATTTCCCACAGCTGATAGGACGCTCAGGTTGGTGAGGGCACTTACATCGAAGTGGTTCTCCATCTTTTGGCTATAACGGAGTGGTATTCTGTTATTTACATGGTTTTGAAGCATATTCACAAAACAAATAAAAGTTTGTTTTGCTACTGACAAGCATTTATGTAACAGTTTCATCTGTAGTATAAATTAATTTATGCAGCATTATGCATGGGGAATAAACATTTACAGAACAAGTATTTCAAACTCCTGTAGGGGGAATTCACTAAGAATGAATTGCAGAGTTTTAGTTCCCACTTCACATGAGGAATTATATACAGTAAATCCAACACATTCTCATCCATTGGCGTCATATAGGTGACGCCATATGACGTTTCGTCGAAATCTTACGCACATGGCATCCTTTAGCGTCAATATAACACGCACTGTTATGGGTAGGTTTAGGTCTGGGGTAGGGTTACGGTTATGACGCCTTGGGATCTGCATCTCATATTGACGCTAAACGATGCCATGTGCGTCGGATTTAGACGAAATGTCTAAAGCGTCACCTGTATGACGCCTTGGGTTCTGTGTCTCATATTGACGCTAAAGGATGCCATGTGCGTAAGATTTCGACGAAATGTCAAAAGCGTCACATGTATGACGCCTTGGAATGAGAACGGGCTGGTAAATCAGGTAATGGCACAAATATGCCAACATACTCAATGAATTTGAATGCAATTTGCATGACACAACTTACATTTATGCACTTAACAGTTGCTTTTATCTAAAGTGACTACCAATTCATCCAATCTATAAATTTTTAGAGAAGCACTTGTTTACTTCAATCGAACCCCTTTGGCATAGCAAGTGCCATTTTCAACGTAGAGGAACTGGACTGGAACTATATAGCATCGCTCTATCCATATAAAGAGCATAAATTCTATAGAAAGAAGGCAGGTTTTATCAAAAGAAAGATTTATAAGTGATTTCACAAGTTCACACTTACATACAATTAGAGTGGATAAGGTGTAATGCGTATTTGGCGTGCTGTCCGGGGAGAGGGCTCCGAGCTCGGAGTTTGGCCCGAACCCAGAGTACTCCCCCCTATGTAAGTGTTTAGGACTAGAAGTGTGGAGAAGGGGCGGAGGAGGGATGCTGCTAAACTTTCAATGGAGTGAGGTGAGATTGCTGAATCTATATATACCCAACACATTCTCATCCTTTGGCGTCATATAGGTGACGCCATATGACATTTCGTCGAAATCTTACGCACATGGCATCCTTTAGCGTCAATATAACACGCACTGTTATGGGTAGGTTTAGGTCTGGGGTAGGGTTACGGTTATGACGCCTTGGGATCTGCATCTCATATTGACGCTAAACGATGCCATGTGCGTCGGATTTGGACGAGCGTCACCTGTATGAGGCCTTGGGTTCTGCGTCTCATATTGATGCTAAAGGATGCCATGTACGTAAGATTTCGACGAAATGTACAAAGCGTCACATGTATGACGCCAAAGGATGAGAACGGGCTGATATACCTCTTATCATTGATTGCTGGGTGCACTCCACTCGTGTTAATTAACTGAACGTGCTCCTCCCGAACTTTGTTAATAAAACATAATTTAATTTAATGTGGTACAGCACTATTTCAGCACATTTAGTCACTGGTTAAACTGCATTGTGGGTGGTTTCTGGGGAAAATAAAAGTATTTACACAACTGGCAAAACTGTTTAGTGAATTTGCTATTGTAAATTCTCATAAGACTGATATCTTAAATCCAAAGAATAAATATGAATAAATAAATAAAATGACTCACCCTAAAGGTTCCGATAGAAAACTTAACTGCTGCTGACTTCAGAGACAAGACAACCCAATTCACCGCATTTGCCACAGGAAAATAAAAAATGAGGACTTCACACTCATTCAGTGTGAATGAGCTCAGCCACAGATGCACATTAGCACGTGACTAACCTCGACTCACGAATACATGAGGAAATGTGTCAGGAGGATGTGATGTTACTTATTGCAGAGGCTTTACCGACATTTGACCAACTACACAAAAAAACACATTTGAGCCATACATCCATGTGAAACATACAAACATACATGCATACATAAATATTTAACTTAACTTACCTTAATTTTAATTAAAAAACTTTCCAAAAAATACAAATGCACTCAGTAATTTCGGTTTGTAAAAAAAAAAAAAAAAAATGCCGGTGGCATTATAGAAATGCTCTGTCAGCCACACTTAAATGTATTACCATTTTAGACCTGTTCTATGTAAAATAAAGCTGGCAACTGAGCAACTTTTAATGCCAGAACTGGATTTAAAATATTAATTTTTTTAATTCATCCATCAAATCCCCATAAAGGTAGTGACATTTCGAAGCACTAACAAGATCTAAACATGACAATAATTATTAGTGTGCACTGCATTTGAAAAGCTGCAAGATGAATTCAAAGACGTGTTACACGTGGGGAAGAAGACTGCCTGTTCATGTGTCAAAGAACTGGTTAAAGTGATGTCAAAGACACGTACAATGCTGGTGTCAGACATTGAATTGCCTCTTCATAGAATGCAGCTTGGCATGAACCTGGAAAATGAAGGGTAGATTAAAGCTTGGAGCATGTAAGAACTGGTTGGAATTTAAAAAAAAAAACATTTTAAGGGTGACTGCATACATATTTCATACTCACAGGCCAGGAACTATAAAACTGCACAGCTTCTACAGTATCTGCTTTTGAAGGTTGTATCAGTCCCCGGGTGATCTAGAACTCTAGGTAACACTTTTCAAGCAGTCTGAAGTGGCATTTCTTCAGGTTGTTGGCGAGTCCAGCCTGAGGGAGCTCCTCCAGCAGCCTCAAGAGTTGAAGCAGATGTTTGCCTCATCCTTCAGAGAGGATGAATGCATTGTACAGTTATTGTACAGTTGTACATTTCATACGGTGATTTCTTGTGAAGGTCTTAGAAGAAAGTCCCCAGGTCCTTTGAAAGGAGGGACATCACCTGGTAAACCATGTCATGGGTTCAATCTCAAAAGAAAACATACTAACAGATTTAAAATGTATAAATGCACTATAACAGAGGTTTTCTAACTGAGGTTCTCTTTTAAAATGGTTTTGCACCAAATGCCAACTATTAAAATTATTCACAATTTATTACATTGTATTAAGTTGACTTTTTTTTCTGCCCAGGATTGAAGATAGGCAATATTATTAATTAACACTTTTTTAATTGGCCTGGTTGAAACTCTCTTCACATCCTGATAGCAATCAATAATAGGTGCTCTCTCTCTATATATATATATATACACACACACAGTGCATAGCATAAGTGAACACACCCATGCTAAAGTTGACTAAAAAGAGGAATAAAAAATCATCTTTTGGAAATTGATCTTTATGCCTTAATTTAAAAAAATGAGGAAAACTCCAACCTTTAGAGACACTGATTTTCTTTGTGAATGAATAATGTATCGTAAAAAAATAAATGGTCTTCCTTAAAATACAGGGGACATAAGTCAGGACACCCCTATGTTAAATTAGAGGCAGGCAGATTTTTATTTTTAAAGGCCAGTTATTTCATGGATCCAGGATACTGTGCATCCTGATAAAGTTCCCTTGGTCTTTGGAATTAAAATAGCCCCACATCATCACATACCCTTCACCATACCTAGAGATTGGCATGGTTTTATTTCAGTTAATAGCTGTATTGATTTGCATTGAGAGATGATCTTATGGAAAGTATCCTGAGGCTGAAACCAGCACATACAGTGTGAGTAGGTTATGAATATTTAATTTTGCTAAACATTATTAAATTTATCCAATATATTGAAGAGATCTTTTTGAAAGATATTGGTTTCCTCATCCACTTATTGAGCACTTGAGCTTTACTGAGACTTGAGTGTTTGTAGACGTTTAATAGGCTGTTGTGTCGACCTTGATTTATTGCTACATGCCTCCTCCAAACGACATGAACCCGCACAGCAGAGTGTCATTAGAGATGGCGTTAAATTGCCTCATGTCTCAAAGCGTATATTACAATAATAATGAATGTAAACAACTTGCAGAGTTCTTACTTGTACCACACGACTGCTGCATATTCCTTTCTGCGTTCAAAGCTAGCTTGCTATAGCTAGCCTTTCCGAAATTGCCTACCCTACCTTTAATGTTTGATGTATAAACCCGAAGAGAAAAAATTTTGGTCAATTCAAATGTATATGTAAAGTGCTTATGCACAGTAAATATTGTTCCAAAGCAATGTGTTCAAATTACTGCATTGAACATATTTTTTTTTAAATAACACTATACCTGTGCAATCCCTGCTACACCTATCACATCAGATAAAAGTGTCTGTCAAATGCATAAATGTAAAGTAAATGTAGAAGTATGTAATTTGCTCACCACAGACTTCCAAGCAATTTTGCCAACATGACGGCACACAAGTGTATAATTGTCAGAACTGGCATAGTCTCGCGTAGCCAGACCTTCAGACTGACAGCTGAAGGTCTGGAATTCATAGCAGCTTTCTTTGGCCAAGGCCCGCCCATAAGGCCGTTTGTCCGACATGTAAAACAACCAATTACAGTTCGTTTCGTTCAGCGTCACGTTTCTGGGCGTGGAAATGTCCCCACAACAACAGACCAGCGTGCAACAAGTCAGTCAGCATAGAAAATCAAAGAAGGAGAAGAAAACTTCAAGAGTCTATGCCGTGAACCTCGCATACTTTTGAGAATCCTACGTTTAGCTGATCTTGATAAATGCTCATTGTCACTCATGTAAACACAACAGTTTTTCTTCCGCAATCACACGTCTGCGCTTTGTTTCCTGGCGACCGAAAATAAACGCGACACTCGCACCCCCCGGAAATCCGATCAAATTCAACCAATCAGATGACGACTTCGACATTCCTGAAGTGTTTCCAGTTAAGTGTACCATATGCATCAGACGTTTAGCCAACGTTCCGTGGGCGTGACGTCTGAGGCTGAGACTAGAACTGGCACAGCCAATGTGAGACCTAAAAGCATTTAGCTGTTTGTTATGAGTTCATTCACCTGCAGATCAATGGGCAACAAAAAATAAGCCTAAGAGGAGTGAACTTTCAATAAAACTATTGATTTCTACAGTGAAAAGACTTACAATATGTCAAGGCGCAGCTTTGCCGATGTACACAGCTTGGTTTAAGTGTCAGGACTGGCCAAATGCAGTTTGAGCAAAATAGCAAAGCAATCTTCAATGTTCCCTGCGAGGAACAAACAAGCACAGTGCACAGCATCCTTCTGTCACAATTGTGTCCCTCGCTCAATCAATAACAGAGCATTCAGAGACTTTATAAAAAGCCATTGATGTCTAGAGATAATGCAATATTATAATATGGTGGATCTTTCTTTTCTCAGCCCAACAGATGCACTCATGCTATTAACATACATCGATGATTTAGTACACAGATAACTGAATTGTCTCTTTAATTAACAAATCAATACGGTGACTGCTTTCTGCTGTTGAAGTGAAAAGGTCATCGGTGTGTCTTTGTAGGCTGAATAATTGAATTTACATGGATTAAAGAAATTTTGAAGAAGTTTAACATTCATCTGTGGCCAGACCTGTTAAATAAACCCATTGCAGGTGATCTGAGACACAATGGCCCTGGTGATTCATGACCAAACTGTAAGCGCTCTACCTCCGGAGGTCCCATCTGCAGGGGTTGCTTGCATGCAATACATAAGGGGTGAAATTGTAGTTGATGCATGAGCACTCTGTGAACCAATAGTATTTGGCCTAAAGAAAACAGCATGACAAAATGCACTTGCAGAGAATTCTGCCTCCACATTTGTTACAAGGCCGCTTGCAAGACATAAATGAAAAGGCTGGCAGAAGAAAGGCTTGTTCACGGTGACTTTGACATAGTGATTTCATAGGTATGCTTTGCTGGGACTTATGGTGGTGACCCATTTTATTTGGTTTCTGTTTTGTTCAAAGTGGGGGTGGTAAGATAATTTTACTTTAAAAGCCTAGACTGAACATGGAAATGTATTGAATCATTGAACATTTCATTGACATTACCGCATGTTCAGTATTCAATCTTCATAATAGAGTCATCGATATACAACAATCTAAAAACTAGAACTTTTAAGCTTTAACGTCAACCTGCATCGTCATTGTATTCTTACATTACTTAAGAAAAATGACTTTCCTTGCATGGAAAACAAAAAGAGATGTTTCATGGTTGTCCCTGGTCCCTATACACCTTCATTTGATTGACCTCATTCTGCGTTTTACAGAAGGAAAAGGGTTTGGAAACTACATCAAATTGGGCAAATAATGACAGAATTTTTATTTTGAGGTCAACTATCCCTTTAATTTATATATCAGTACAATACAAATGCTATATTCTAAGGAGAGGGGAAAGTTGTTATGGCTTTTTTTTTTCATTGACTCTTTATATCTGTCTGTTCAGACTCATTTATCTTACTGGAATTACTCTCAAACCTCATTTTCTTTGTAAATGTCCTTATGAATATTTACAAAACCTTCGGCATGCATTAATGGGTCGTGGAAGACTACATATTTGATATTTACAACTTCACCAAATATTTTTAAGGAACTCAGAGTTCTGTGTTTGCTTTGTTTCCATGAGGATCCAAAATTAAATGGCAACTTGCAAGTAATATTACACTTTAAACCACAGCATAAAAAATCGTAACATTGAATTCAGGGAAGGAAATTTTGATTACTTCACAAAGAGTATAGCGTGAAAAAAAGGAACCTACTTTTTCTTCTAACTGATGTAGAAATGATGTTTCACTTTCTAAAAATATTATGTTGTTGTTAGCCAAACTGTCTTAGTTTGGGGAATAGATTAAATAGAGAAATTCCAAACCATCAGAA